TCAGATGTACCACTTTTCAGGGATTTGCCGGTGATTTTTCTTGACTCGTTAGCTTGAATTTTGTTGTGACGATGTTAATTCACTCTGATGACGAAAGCTTCGCACCTTTTCACCGGAATCGAAGAAGATTGTCTCGGAAACAGCGTCAGCATGAATGTTCCAGCAAAGCCAATCGACAGTTGGTCAAGAGGAATCCGCCGTCGTCCTCTGGTAAAATCGACTTTCGAATCTCTTCACCAAAACCTTTCACTCGAAATGGAATTAAGCTGAACAATTATGATACAAGAGACTCATCGACTCATCTTAATTAACCTGTGCTGGCGACAATCTTATTTACTAATTAATCATAGTTTCGAGTACTACTCATATCAAAAATAACTACTACTAGTCAATGTTTCTTTTCTTCGCATGGCTCAATTCTATTTGGGTCCGGTTATGCTGCCCTACGACAATATGTTTTCTGGCGAGGTGAAAAAGCCTTTTGGTAGAAAGGGCAAAGTATAAGTCAATGGCATCTCACTCACTTTTGGCAAATTTCACTTTCGCTTCTTACATCACCCAAACTGATGTCCGGCTGTAGTTATGCTCCTATCCGGAATGCCAAACTCTCGTCAGGCTGACGAAAGTCGAGGTCAATTTGGGCCCAGTTCGTCTTCTTGATAGACGCCGTCAGTCTTTCTGGCCACTCCGACCGCAGTCACACTCTCTTGCGGCAAACCAACCTCTTTTCCAAGCCGCCCCTTGGCGTCCTGGCACCCTGAGACCTCGTGACCTCTTCACTTTTCTATGGTACCCCGTTCTATGTCTACCGGTCAGCCCTTCTCAACACTTCGCCCAAAAAGTCGCCTGCTTTTCGGCCAGCTCCAACACCTCACGCCCCAGCTGCCTCCAGTCGCCTAAGCCAGCCGACCAGTCCTGTCCGCCCAGTCAACAACACGGCCAAGAATGCAGCTGTAGATCGCAAGACGTTTCCAATTGCCATGTGTTTTCCCAGGCGTTTCACTTTTTTCAATCAGTTTAGTGCTCATTAACTGGTATCATAAAATGGCAAAAGATATGCTGCGGAGTTGACTGTTGGCAATTAAATTGACTCTGGAGATTATAAATCACAGCCCATCTGGTGGACATTGTTTTAGCCGACCTATTTAGCGGGTTTAAACAGCCAATTAATTGCAAATAGAAGCATTCAGCCGTTACTCCTGTCGGCCATACCAACACACCCTCGGCTACCTGACATTTATCATCCAACCAGCCGCCAACCATCCATTCGTCCATCTACCCATCTATTCTTGTATGCATCGATTCATCTATTCATCCACTTGTTCACCCATCCGGCGATGTAACCAATTCTTAGCCCATCTGGCATATAAATATTTTGCTTTGTTTTGTCCCGTCCCAATCACAAGAAGCACCTCAGCACGATCGTATCAGGCCATATTAATTAATTTATTTATTAATTTATTTATTTGTCCATCTGCTTTTTCTGTACTGTCCTGCCTAG